GTGGAGAGGAGGGAGGGAGGGAGGGACTGGGAGGGAATGAGGGATCAGGACACGGCTGGGATACAGAGTTAATAAAATGTAACTGATAAGACAAAAATAAAATACAAAAAAAAATTTCTTAACTAAAAAAAAAAAAAAAGACTTATTTTATTTTATTTTGGTTTGTTTCTGAGACAGAGCCTCACTACATCGTCCTAGAATGTCCTAGAATCTCACTATGTAGACTAGACTAACCTCAGACTCACAGAGATCTGCCTGCCTCTGCTTCCCAAGTGCTAGGATTAAAGGCATGCACTGCCACACCCAGCTTTGAAGTTAACTTCTAGACAAAAGCCATCTTCCAAAATAGGTCAGAATTTTATTTTTAATTATGTGTATGTATGTATGTCCGTGTGTAGCTGAGTGATGTGAGCTCAGTAGCTTAGAGTAGGGCATCAGATCTAGAGCTTGAGTCACAGGAAGTTGGGTTGTAAGCCACCCGTATTGTGGGTGCTGGGAATTGCACTTGGGTCCGTCACAGTAACAGTTGAAGCGGAAGTTTCTGGTTTCTTTGGAAACTCAGTTGTGTCCTGTGAATATGTTTTTGTTTGGGTCCCAAGTGTGGCATGTGGGAATGTTTTTCTCCCTTGTGGAAAAAAGACCCCTTGAAAAACAGCCCCCGTGAAAAGGTGAGTGATGTTGGTCAGCTGAAAACTACATGGATTTTGTGAGCTGGAAAACATCCTTGTGTAGACTCTGAGAAGGCATAAATAGAAGCCCACAGACAGTGAATGCTTTCTGCATTTCTACACTTTGCAACCATTTGGAATGCTTTGCCTCTTTGCCAACTCCTGCAGCTGACTCCTGGGGGTCTCTCCACCTCTGCTGAGCGGTACAGCTGGTTTGCTGCTTTACTGTTTGACTGGACTGCTGGTATCCTGATGACTGAGATTGGTGTATCCCAAAAACCTAATGACCCTGATCAGTAGGAAGTAGATAAAAGTGGTCCACAGCCCCTTTTCCTACTAATTTACCTAAGGTCAGGGCATGGGGAGGAAGGCAGAGGCATTTAAGAACATTTAAACAAAGCAGGTATTTGAAAAATCTAAGCCTACAAGAAGTACATGCTCCAAACCACTGAGCCACTTCTCTATTCCCCCACACCATGTCAGAATTTAAAATCTCATGACTTGTATCAAGCTTGGTGTCATACGCCTTTGATCCCCAGCACTTGGGAGGCAGAGGCAGGTGGCTCTCTGTGAATTCAAGGTCAGTCTGGTCTATATTGTGAGTTCCAGGTTAGCCAGAGCTAAAAGTGAGACCCAGTTTCAAAACAGAGCAAACAAACAAACAAACAAACAAACAAACAAAAAACCCTGAAACCAAACCAAACAAACAAAATACCTGGGACAGGAAAGATGTCTTAGCAGTTAGCAGCACTGGCCACTCTTCTGGGAGTCTTGGGTTCAACCCCAAACACACACATAGTGGCTCCTAACCATCTGTTCCTCCTGTTCTAGATCTGCTGCCCTCCTCTGGCCTCTGCAGGCACCAAGCACACATGTAGTGCATAGACATACACTCAAGCCAAACAGCCATACAGACAGGAAATAAATTATAACTACGTGGTTTTCCCTACTTGTTGGTGTGATGTTCTTCTGAAATGTATACACCTTACCCTTGTTCATTCAGATGCTGATTTCTCCCCCTACTCTCTGGTTTCAATCTGGACACTGCATTGTGATACTTATTCTAAGCATCACCTGTCTCAACTTTGTGTAAACATGCCAAAATTAAAAAAAAAAAGACACAATGTTGAGCAATGGAGGGGAGGATCTGGAGGGGAGGAAGAGGTAGGAGGGAGAAGAGGAGAGAAGCTGGGAGTGCAGAAGCTGGAGGAGAGGTCTTGGAACGACGTGAAGAAATGAACTGGACCTAAGTTATCACTAAAAGCAAGTATAATGTGGAAAATCTGAATGAGAGAAAATATCTGGACTTGGAGGTTTAGGATGGAGTAACTATTGCCCAGCATTGTGTTCTAGGTTAACTAAATAAATCCTAGTCTCTGTGTGGTGATTTTGTTATACAGCTGTTTAGGATTAACTGCGGCTTTACTAAAAGATATATCATATAAGTATTAATAACACCAAAATACAACACCTACTGGTTGCAGAACATAGTTGCAGTGTATGTTGGTTTCATGTAGGAGGCAAGTGGTTCAGTGTGGATCTCTAGCTCCTAGTTTGACTACCAGAACTATTTCCCGGGTTTGAATTCTGATTTAGACTGGAGCCTGGCGGTTGCAGATGTTGCCCTTCGGCGCATGTATCTGAACATGTATCCTCGGTTGGCAGTGCTATTTGGGAAGGTTCATGAACCTTTACGCGGTGGGGCCTTATTTGTGACACTCCACTTCATGTGCTTTCTCTGCTTCGTGTGTGTAATGTGATCATCAACTTCCTGCTGGAGCCACAGTACCTCTTTCTTCCCCCTAAGAATTTCTTCGTGTAGCTCTGGCTGTCATTACACTCACAGAGATCCCCCTGCCCCTGGCTCCCGAGTGCTGGGATTAAAGGTGTGCACCACCACTACTGCCTACCTCTTTTCATGTCTTCCGTCTTGATAGATTTTATCCCTCTTGAACTATAAACCATAGTAAACCCTTTTCTCCTCTGAGGTGCTTTTGGTCATGGTTTTTTATCACAGCAACAGAGAAGTAACAAACACAGAGGCTGACAAGATGGCTCGGTGGCTAAAGGTGCGTTCTGAGCAAGCCCGGTGACCTGAGTACAGTCCCTGGAACTCACCCAAGGTGGAAGGAGAGAACCAGCCCCATAAAGTTATCTAACCTCCATGCACATGCTGTCACACGCAGAGAGACACACGCGGGGGGAGTGGGGGAGGTGGGTGGTCTTAAAAATTAAACTGAGGGGCAGTGAAAGAACTTGGCAGGCAAAGGCACTTGTTGCCAAGCCTGACGGACTTCTGACTTGACCAATGAGAGCTTCTTGGAGAATCAACTCCCAGAAGCTGCCCTGTGACCTCCATGGGGACACGCACACGTATGTGACGTCAATTTTGAAAACCCCCAAGTGGAAGTTGTCACCTTGTTTATTCACACCCCCACTTCCTTTGCAGACAGTGAAGACATAGCTGGTCTGAAACTTGCTCTGTAGTCCAAGCTGACCCTGGACTAATTAAAATGTTTCTGCTTCTCAAGGTGTGTGCCACCATACCCAGATTAAGACCTTTTTCTACACCATGGATTCCTCAAGGGCCAATAACCACGTTAGCCTAGAACGTTATTCCACATTTTCGTCAAGAATATTTTCAAAACTGTGCACAGCGGGCCTGTAGAGATGGCTCGGTAGGCAGAGAGCTTACCTCTAAGCGTGAGGACCTGAGTTCAGCTCTCCAGCATGTGGACAGAAGTGCGTGGTGGTCTATGTAACTCAGTGCAGCCATGAAGTCAACACACCTGTCGTAAATTCTGACTATGGTCTGAACCTGCTCACTGAAGAGCCAATGGTTGGCAAGTCAGCGAGCAGTGCGATGAACCCTTAAGAGGGACATGACTGCACAACTGAATAGTTACGAAAATGTGCTGTCTCTGTTTTCACTCTCTCACACATGCAGTTAGCTTTTTAAGGACAATGAACAGACAGTTGCAACTTACAGTAGCTCCAGAAGACATTAATGGCTGGACTGTGACACTGCAGATGCACTTCCAACCTTAAAAGCTTGGGGGAGCGGAGTGTGTCCATAATTTAAGGATTATTTGAATGGAGATTTTAAAACGTATTTATTTAGCAAATAATATAATTAACAATATATGAAAATATATACTCACAGTGAGCCTACATGTTGGTGTTGAAGTATATAATAAGTACTTACAGGAGAATCTAACAGTTGTATCATACAGCACCAACTAACTCAAGCATTGAGATCAGATCAAGAGGTTTGAAAGGAAAAGCATGGAAAGGAAAAGTCCTGGGGCTGGGATGATGGCTCAGTGGTTAAGAATATGTCCTGCTCTTGCAGAGCACCCAAGTTCAAGTCCCAGCACCAGGTCAGGAACCTCACGATCACCAGTTCGAGGGCATCCAATGCCCTCTTCTGTCCTCTAAAAGCACTGCACTCAAATGTACAAACGTACACAAATATACATAATTTGAAAATAAGTGAAAAGTTAAAATCCTTAAATTGGATGAATCTTCAAGGTTATAAAGAAACACAAATTAACAGGGGGAATTTTTTTTCTAGGGAGGGAACTTAAGTGATAAGAAGCTATATAGTGGACTAATTTTTAAAAACAAACGTGAAGGCTGGAGGAAGGCTCAGTGGTTAAGAGCACTGGCTGCTCTGCCAGAAGACTCAGATGTGATCCCCACCATCCACATGAGGGCCGACAACTGCCTCATTACCTCTTCCGACTTATGTAGGCACCAGGCACCCAAGTGTTATGCATACATACAGGCAAAAACATCCATATGCACAAAACAAAAGTGTAAGGGGTGAAGTAAGAGAGCTCTAAGTGCATCTAAGGAAATCCCTAAGACATCGTCTGAAGCAGACTCGCGGGCTTCTCCACACCATGAATCCGCTGATGGTGAGTAAAGGTGGAGCGCTGGCTGAAGGCTTTCCCGCACTCAGGACACTCATATGGCTTCTCACCAGTGTGCACTCTCTGGTGCACACTGAGCTGTGAACTGTCACTAAAGGCTTTCACGCAATCTTTACACTTGTAGGGCTTCTCACCAGTATGCGTTCTTTGATGGACCATAAGGCTAGAACTGTAACTGAAGACCTTCCCACACTCATGACATTCATAAGGCTTCTCACCAGTGTGAATTCTCTGGTGTATCATTAGGTGAGAGTTCTGATTAAAGCATTTTCCACACTGGCTGCATTTATAGGGCTTTTCTCCAGTGTGGAGTCTCTGGTGCCGAATGAGGCACTTACTTAAGCTGAACTTCTTCCCACACTCGCTGCATTCAAAAGGCTTCTCCCCAGAATGAATTCGTTCATGGTCAATGAGCTGAGAGTTCTGACTGAAGGCTTTCCTGCATTTACTACATTTGTATGGTTTTCCCCCAGTATGGAGACTCTGATGTCGAAGAAGACACTTACTCCTACTAAAGGCCTTGCCACACTCAATACATTCGTAAGGCTTCTCCCCAGTGTGGATTCTCTGGTGGTCAGTAAGATTTCTGTTGGAACAGAAGGCTTTCCCATACTCATTACACTCATAGAGCTTATTACTGTGAAGGATAAGACTTTTCCTCTGCATGAACGCCTCCCCACACTCAGTGCACTCAGATTTCTCCCCAGCACGGGTCCTCTTGTGATCAGTGAGCTGGAACCTCTGGATGAAAGCTTCTGCACATCCAGCACACTTACTCGGCTTCTCCCCATTAGGGAGGCTCTGGGACTGAGCAAGATGGCAGCTGCGGCCATTAGTCTTCCCACAGTCACTATGTTCACAGGGCTTTCCCCCCGAGTGTGCTCTGAGGTGAGCAATGCACTGAGACATCTGCCAGAAGGTCTTCTCACACTCGTTACCTCTATAGGGTTTGTCTCCGGTGTGGACTCTCTGGTGTCCACATTCCCCACACTGATAGAACTTCTGTCTCTGGGCTTCTCCCTGATGCTCAACAGGAATGGAGGGCAGATCTGGATGTTGCCCTTCATCTTTACATTCCTCATTTCTGTCTTCTTCTGGATTTTTCTTCTCTTTCTTTTCCAATACATCACTTTCTAGTTCACTCTCATCTTCATCTGAAGGTTGCCCTTCTACCTGTTCTAAAAGACCTTCACAGATATCTCCAGACTCAGGCTCTACCAGGGCTACTCCAAAGACTCCCTCTGAGGCTGTGTCAAATGAGTCTGATCCTTTAGAAACATCCTGCTTTGCCGTGTACTCAGAACTTCTTATCCTGTTCTTACCTGTTGCCAAAAAAAGAAAAAAAAAAAAAGTCCTTTTATAGTAAAGAAATGAGATATTTGAAAAATAGAGAATGTAGAAAATACCCCTCTTTTCTTCAGGGCTAGTAAAACACAGAGGGACAATGCTCCATAGAGGAGGAGGAAAGGAAAGGCAGCGACAGAGGAAACTTAGGCTAGCACAACCTAGGTAGGAGAAAGACTAAAAGGAACAGCTAGATAGTGTGGCACAGTGCTGCAGCATCCTCCAGGGTCCCGGTGACACTGTCTCCTCAGTGAATGATAACTAAGTTCCTCTTCACCATCACATGGCGCAGTTCCACGTGTCTCCAAAAGGATGCTGGGCCATGCGTGGTGCTGCTTTTAATCTCAGCTCTTGGGAGGCAGAGGCAGGCAGATCTCATGAGATCAAGGCCCGCCTGGCCTACACAGCTCCAGGCTAGACAGAGCTCCACAGTGAGACCTGTGAAGAGAGTGGGAGAAGCTGGCTGACAGGAGGGAAGGTTAGCAAGAACGACGGCAGGCAAAGAGGCAGTGCGCTGGTAAGGACTCCCACTGTGACAGTGTGGAACACGCTCTGACTTTTAGCTTCCTAGAGACCTAATCCTAAGTGTGCCAAGAATGTTCTTCAGAGGGCACAACAGACGGCATTTGACAATCTGAAAACTGGGGTTCAAGACCCTCTCCAATCTGACTTAAGCTCTATTTATGACTACATTCTCTCTGCTTTCATTTCCTTACCACTTCTAAGACTGATTTACTTTCCTGCCTTAAAACAACAATAACAACATTCACACATCTCTCATTTATTCTATGGGTATGGGTGTTTTATCTGCATATGTGTCTGTATATACCTAGTGTGGAGACCAGAAGGTGACATTGGATCCCATGGAACTGGAGTTCTAGATGGTGAGGGAACTACCCTGTAGTGCTGGCAACTGACCCTGGGAGAGCAGCCAGGCCCTCATCTCGGCAGCAGCCTCCTGCCACGTGGAGCTGTTGGAGCCAGCCGTGCCTCCTTCCCCTCCTTCAGTGACTGCTTCTATTTTCATGGCTGCAGTCACACTTCCCAGTGCTTACTGCTCTCTCAGACCTGTCACAACGCTGTGTACCAGACAGTGTTCCTCAACACTGCAACTGCAGTTTCTTTCCTTTCTTTCTTGTTTTTTTTTTTTTTTTTTTTTTTTTTTAAGATAGTGCCTCACTATGTAGCCCTGGTCAGCCTGGAGCTTGCTATGGAAATCAGGCTGACCTCAAATTCACAGAGATCTGTCTGCTCTGGCCTCCCAAGAGCTAGGATTAAAAGTAGGCAGCACTGTACCCAGTCTCCATTCTCTCCTTTTTAAAGGGTTAAATCTCTTGCTAGCTCCTCCAGTACCCCATACCAGTCCCTGCCTCACAATAATGCCCTTCACAGCGCCAGCATCATGCCTGGGATAGTACCGTCTATATGTATCCTTTGTTGTGGGAGCTGTTTTGGGAGGTTCTGTTTGACACAGGATATTAATCTGAAGCACAGGCTAGCTCAACACTTACAAAGTAGTCCAGGCTGGCCTTCAGCAATCAAAAATACTCTGAACTAGGCTTTCCAAGTGCTGGAATGACAGGTATGATCCACCCAAATGTGTCTTATGAGGTTGCTTCTTATTTCTATCACTGACCCCCTGCCACCTGGGTAAGAACTCTTAAAGATAATCACAGTTACTGTATGTCTCCAGTCTCCAGAGTGTTTCCAATGACACATGCTTGAGGGAAACTTAGTACATACATGCACAATTAGAGAATAGTTAAAAGGGGCCAACCCAGCCACTAAGGACGGAGGCCAGCTAAGGGAAGTGTAGCATTTCAGTGAGGTGCAAGTTAGGCTGATCAAAAGAAGTGACTCTAGAGGGCAGATGGAAAAATGACTTGAGGACAGAACTGGGGAGACAAGTACCAAAGTGTCCACTGGGGAGGTGGTATGCTCCTGGGTCAAAGGGAGGACCCAAGAGGGCCTCAGGGGCTGGGCCCTGACTGGAAACTGAGGTAGGAGATTGCTCTGTTGCACTTGGAGCTATCATCTTCTTTAAATGCACATCCTGCTCTTGCACTGGAGGTGGAACCTAGAGATAAAAAACAAAAAACAGGGTTCAAAAGTGCATCCGTGAAGGTAGAGAACCCCACCTCTAAGACAGCCCATTCAGAAAAAAGCCACAGAAACGAAGGACCGGCCTATCTTTCCGGCACTACCCCGAGGAAGTCTACCGGCTAACTGCCAAGCTTACAGTCTTCCCCACCATCCCTCTCTGAACTCTCCTTGTAGGAGCTTGAAGAACAGATTCTAGCCAGTTCAACTGTGTCAGGGCTTTGGGCACACATTTTCTTAAGAAAAACCATGTGAATTATCAACACAGCTCAGATGGTCAACACTGCTAGGCCTGAGGACTGGAGTGAAGATCAGTTCCCATGTTGTCTACTGAATAGTTCTTTGTGTGTAAATGTGAGTACGCACGTGTGTGTGCAGGTACACACGCACATTTGTGTAGTAGCTAGGGCACGCTTTCAGGTGTCTTTCTTGCTCAGGCACCACCCACTCTGTCTGAATGTGTACACAGGATCATGTGTAAGAATTACGGCACTTTGCAAAACCTGCCTTCTAAGAATCACAGAGTAAGTGGCCTCCTTAGACCACTTCGTCTGCTTCTAGGCCAGAAACCTGGCTTAAGCACCGATTCTGGGGTTAGGGAGAGCCTGTCTCAAAAACCAAGCTGGCTGCACACAGCCATGTTCAAGCAGGAAGCAGAGGCTGTGGAGGCACTGTCTCTGATGAGGCTTACTGCCTGTGGGTGGCTACATGCTGGATGAAGGAGAGAAACCAGGTTAGGTTATGATATGGAACTTCTTCTGCCCATACTGGAGCTTTTGTCTGCACTTACAGGAGACAATCAGGACTGCAGAGAAGGTTCAGTCAACACAGTGCTTTACATGCAGTCACGACACCCTAAGTGGAGATTCCCAGAACCAACATAAAAAAATCAGACATTACAGCACATGCTGGTAATTCCCATCCTGGAGACGCCCACAGTCAGACTCCCTAGGGCTCCTAGGCCAGGAACCTAGCCTCAACACCAATTCCCAGGTTAGGGAGATCTTGTCTCAAAAATCAAAACGTGGCCACACCTACGGAACAACACCTAAGGTTGTAGTCTAGCGCACGCCACGCCCCTGCACATGCACCTCTCCCCCACATAAACACACGTCTACACTTGCACCTCCCCACACATACACACATACACAGTCCTGCTTCAGAGTTTGGCATGTGTGGTTGTTCTACGAAGAATGGCCCCCACAGGCTCACAGATTTGAATGCTTAGTCACCAAGGAGTGGCACTATTTAAAAGGATTGAAGGTGTGGCCTTGTTAGAGAAAATGCCAGTGATGGTGGGCTTTGATGTTTCTCAGTTTCTCTCTCTCTCTCTGGGTCAGGATACAGAGCTCACTGCGACTTCTTCAGCACCATGTATGTATACCTGTGTGCTACCATGTTCCCTGCCATGATAATGGACTAACCTCTGAAACTGTAAGCAAGCCCACAACTAAGTAGGATTTGTATTTGTAGTTTTGCTTATGGCTTGCAGCACAAAGCTACTGTACATGTATCAGGGGAAAAGGCTCAGGGATCCTCAGGGCAAACCTGAAGTGTGGGAATGGAGAATGCTTATCCCAGGCTAGTCCCAGTGGGAGAGTAGTTCTGCATGCTATGGCGGGCTCCACTGCTTACCTCCCCCGACTCACTAAGGTGTCTTTGGAAATCCTCTACCACAGCCACAGCCTCTTCACCAGTCTCAGGGCGGTGGAGCTGCACCCAGGTCTGCAGCTCCCCGGGCAGGATGCTCAGGAACTGCTCCAGCACCAGCAGCTCCAGGATCTGCTCTTTGGTGTGAACATCTGGCATCAGCCACCAGTGGCACAGCTCCCTGAGCCGGCTCAGAGCCTCCCGAGGCCCAGACATTTCATGGTAACATAACTGCCTGAAGTACAGCCGGAAGATTTCACAGACAGGAGGGCAGGTCTTCTGGAAGCTGCAGCCCTGTTCCCAGCTCTGGCTTCCTGGCTCTTGCTTCACCACCAAGCTCTCCCCGTGCCTCTGACACACAGTTCTGGGGGTGAGACCTAACATTCCTCTGCCTTCCATGGTCACTGGGATCCCAAAGGGAAGCTGGTTCCAGCTGCAGCAGGCACAATGAAAACGAGTCTCTGCTTCAAACTGCAGAGTCAAGAAAAGCAGGAAAGTGACACCTACAGAAACAGAAAACAATCGGAGTCCCGGGGTTCTCAGCTCTTCCTTGGTGAGATTCTGGAGCTCAAAGCAAAGCTTCAGGGGGAAGAAGAGTACTGTTAGGGCAATCACTGCAAGTGACTTCCCTTCTCAAACTTTTAATGGCTCTAGTCGCTGACAGGATAAAACCTAACTGAACGTCGCGTAGCATTCATAGCCTTTCACACCTCTCCAACCATTCTCCTCAAGAACCCAAATTAAAAGGAGAGCAATGGCCTCCAATGTAGGGTATTCAACAAAACAGGATGTTAAAGAAAATGTTAAATTATTTAACTGTTAACATGTCCTATAGTAAGCCCTAAAATTCAAACAGTATGTAGCTTTACTTTTGGAATAAACTTGTGCTGAAAGTGGAGACTCAAATCTCTTCAGCTGCTAAATATGTATACACATTTGGGACTAACCCTCTACAAATACGGGGAAAACTCACACTTTATCCCATTTTATTTCCAACAAACTCTTACTCCAGACCCAGAATAAAAACCATTTCTCTTGAAAGAGGTTTTTCTCGTTGTCCCAGGGGTGACACTTGTTACTGTAACAGTGTGCGTTAACTGCTTTATGCATCAAACAGGCCTCCAAGCTGCTGGAGGGCCACCCACAGCGAGGCACAGTTAGAATAAAAACTCTGGAGAGTTTTCTACTTAGCTCAGAGCCTTTCTGATCCCTCCTGGCTCGCCAGCGGTTATTGCTTCAGAAATCCCAAGTATCATTTTTCTTAGTGCTATTGTTTGCAGTTTACACAGATGTGGGCTCCCTTTTTCTGGATAGACTAAAAAGGCAGGACCGGGCTCCTCTCAGGGGCAGAGGTGCGGCTAACTTAGTTGACAAAAGTTGAGAAGAAGTGTTCCGGCTTATGCACGCCATCTGAAAACAGCTTCTCAGAGCAAGTAGGACGTGTATTGTGGTTCCTGGTATCAGGCACTGGAGACCTGAGGGTTAGACACTTTCCTCTGAGCCTGGTTATCTTAAAAGACAAACGGACCAATCTGTGAGCTAAGAGCACAAGCGTGAAGCCCAGGGCGCTTTCCTGCCGTCCTTACGGTCCCGAACGCTCAGCAGCGACGTCGCTGCGCCGCGCAGTGCGAGCTCGCGTGGGGCGCCGCTCACCTGGCCGCGTCCGCCGGGTGCAGCGCAGGCGCACAGGCGCCAACCCGAGCCCAGCGGCCCCGGCACGGGACGAGGCGCCTCTGCCCGGCCAGCCACCCCGGCCCTGCTGGCGCCGCGCCCCGAGTGCCGGCCGCGCCTCCCTCCCTGCCGCACCAGCACGCGTGACGGCTCCCCGTCCCGCGAACAAGGAACAACAATGGCGGGACCGGACGCGCGAGAGCGTCACTTCCGGTATCTCAGGGGTTCCGGAAGTCTTGGTTACCAAGGTGAGCAAGAAGCTTGGAAGCCAGGGTCTTCTCCAGGGCGCATCTCGGGTACAAGCGGGTGTCCTGCTGAACTTAAAGCCATTCAGATTCCAGTCAGCTCACTATTGACACTAAAGGGCCCAAACCAAAATCCATACTTTTCAACAATCAGACTTGACAGCCAGGAGCCGGACCTGATCTCGTGCTACGCAATTAGAGCCCAGTTCCTAATTATTGTTGCAGCTATGCTCCAACACGGGGACGGTTTCCCCAATGCAAGTGTTAAAGCTCTGCTGGAAAAGGTACCCTGCCAATCAGGAGCCAAGAAATGCCACAGGACACAACGCACAACACTCCTCTGGTACTCTTGGAGGCAGAGGTAGTCCCAGCCACTCTTTAAGGCTAAAGCTGGCCGCTGTCTCTCCACCCCACCACCCTCAGTGCTGCAACCCTGCAGTTTCCTTAGGCCCTACTGGGCTTTTGTGCCTCTTCCTGCCCTCTTCTCCCACCTTCCCTTTGGAGTTGCCTGTAAACCTCACAGCTTTTTAGGCCCTAATGGCCTTTGCAACTCCATTCTCCAGCCATTTCCTGTGGATGACCCTACCACTAGAGCTCACCTTCTGGCCTCTGTGAAAGTGCTGGTACCAGGTGCAGTCTCTCCCCTGGCACGGCCCTCCCCCTTGAGGACGGTGACAACCCACTGAATGACTTTGTCCTTATTCGGTCCTCCTGGAGTCCTGGGGATGCCCATGACTACAGGCTGTGCTGACATTTTCCTTCTCCTCTCTCATCTGCGGAAAAAGCATCTTTCTTTCATACCCTCTCAGTCCCCCTTGGGATGCCCCTTAGAAAACCTCCAGCCTCTACACCTGAAACCCTAACTGAAGGGCTCTAAAAATAATGACCTTCAGCTCCTGCTCCACTACTCATTCTTGCTATACTATGGGACACCCCCCCCCCTACCAGACCTAACCCAGCCCCAGTTTTTTCTTTGTGGGAGGTCTCTGGAGTAAATGGCCTGGTCAGGGGTTCATGTCTTCTTCTTAGTAAGTGAATGCCTCTCCTCCAGCCATTTGTCTTTGAATGTCTGTCTCTCTCTCTCCACCTCCCTCTTATTATTATTATTTTTTTTTTGAGACAGGGTTTCTCTGTGTAGCTCTGGCTGACTGAAAGATCAGAGATCCTCCTGCCTCTGCCTCCTGAGTACTGGGATTAATGGTGGGCATCACCACTGCTGGGCTGTGAAAAGACTGGCCTTTAAGGCGTACCAGGGGAGAGATGGAAACACCCATAAACAAAAATAGCAAAGGTTGTCCAAGGCCATCCAGCCAGCTGAGGTGACTGTCTAGGCTTCTTTGGCTCCTAAGGCCCAAGGACCACCAGGTCTCTGCTTTAAATGTAGTCAGAAGGGTCACTGGGCTTGCTCTAACCCCCTGGCCATAAAAAAGCCATTGAGAGACAATTGAGCTGTTAATTGCCCCTGTGCCCCTTAAGGCATGGGGACATCAGACCCAGATTGCCCGCCAGCCAACCTCTGCCTGCTTATGGACAGCTTAAGGGGCTCAAGCTCCCTTGACCTGACTGTCATCTCTAACAGGGAGTCCTGGGTAGTCATTACAGGAACAGGACACTGGGACCACTTACTCAGTCCTGACAGAGTTCTAGGAACCCACCTCTTCTCATTTCTCTATGGTCAAGGTTCAGGGACAGACCCTACCACTCAGTCGCCTTTTCAGGGGTGTTCCTCTCATTAATTCCTTTCTGGTGGTGCCAACCTGTCCTGTCCCCTTATTGGGAAGGATCTTCTAGCCAAAGTGGGAGCCTCTATGACTTTCACTCCTCCCATATGCCTGACCCCAATCTCGTCAGCAGCCCCTCTCCTCCTCCTAGCCACCTAATTCACTGTTTCCAATATGCCATTTCCTTTACCAGTCTCCCAGGTGGAACTGGGATTCCCCAAACCCCTCTGTTGCCAAACATCATTGCTCCCTCATCATCCAATTATAGGATCCTACTTGATACATCAACCAAGTCCAGGACCCACTCTCTCTCCAGAGCAAAGGGGACTTAAGCTTGTCATCTCTGACCTCATAAGAAAAAAAAATGAAACACTACTTTGCCCACACCTTCCCCCTTTGACACCTGAGTATTGCAGTTAAGAAGCCCAATGGGACCTACCGCCTGGTCCAAGATCTCCAGCTCCTCAGTTCTGCAATGGTCCCCCTCTACCTGTCAAAGCTAACCCTTTCACACTCCTTTCTACTGTCTCCCAGGGATCTCCCAGGTCTCAGTCCTGGCTTCAACTCTGGTCTCAAGGATTCCTTCTTCTCTATCTCCCTCAACACCCAGTCACAATATTTTTTCCTTTTTCCTAGACTGATCCTGACACCCACCTCTCTACACAACTCCTACCCCAAGGGTTCTGGGACAGCCCATACTTATTGTCCAGGCCCTAGCCTCTATTCTATTCTTGTTGTCTCTCTTCAAATCTTAACTAATATAATATGTAGATAACCTTCCCCTTTGTAGTTGTCTCTACAAATTAGCCCAACTGGCACCTCTGCTCTTTTAAATTTCTTGTCCAGACAGAGCTATAGATTCTCATTGCCTAATGTTCAACTGTCTGCCTCTCAGGCCACTACTTGGGATTAGCCATTACCCCAACCCAGAAAGCCATTACCTTGGATAGGAAACACCTACTTCAGTCCTGCGTGGTCCCTTCTACCAAAGAGATTTTATCATTCCTAGGAATAGCTGGCTTCTTATGCTCCCAGATCCCCCCTTCTCCATCCTTGCTTGCCCTCTATACGAGGTAGCCCTTGGCCCCTCGCATGAACCCCATTCTCAAACCCATTACCAAGCCCTTTCAGAAGCTTCAACAGACCATCCTTCAGGCCCTGGACCTATACCTAGCTTATACCTAACCTGTCCCTTCTCTCTTTAAATAACAGAAGAAGAGAGCTACGCCCTTGGGTTCCTAGACCACCAACTGGGACCTTCCTTTGCACCTATGGCATACCTGTCCAAAAAATTGGGCCTTACCTGTGGAGAGCTGCTTGTTATTGAGTAGTCAGCAAAACAAAAACAAAAACAAAAACAAAAAAACAAAACATGTTTTCACCCTGGCCTTCATCTTGAGACAGAGATAAGCAGGATGTTTTGCCAAGTTCCTTAAACTTGTTTGTGTGACCTTGGACCATCTTTGCTACAGGGAATTGGTTTAAGAAAACAAGTTTGGCAGTTCCTTGAACCTCTTTCTTGTACTGATGTGACTTGTTTTGCTTTGTCTATGAAAAGGAATTGTGGAATAAACTCTCATCAAGAGTCTTACTGACAGCACTCTTGAGCTGATCCCTTTTCTGTCTTGCTTTATTTCTTCCAATCTTCACTCCCCACTCAGGTACTGTTGATTTTACCAGTGGGCACCTGCACTTACCACCCAGGGATGGGTACCCTGTATATGTGTTTTAGCTGCAGCCAAGCTCGTTTCGTGAACTCCCCCAAAACCTTTCAGGTCATCTACTACTATCTTCTTCTCCTACCACCTGTCTCACCTCCTAACATATAAAGACCTACAAACTCCACCTCCTT